TTGTGTTACATCAAATCCAAAAATTGTATGTTACATCAAAACTAAAGTGGCACAAAACAACCTACAATTTACACATCATTACCTCAAATAATTGTATCTTGATGTTTTGATTTCTTGTCACTTAGTGTCTTGACTTTAAACACCTATAATTTTAAATAATGATACTTATTAGTAAATAAACTTAGAAACTATAACTTACAATAAATTATGAATGACTCTCTCACTTCTGCTATCAAGTAACCCATATCTGGTAGAGTTAACCATTTCTATGGTGGTTGAGGACCAAATGCCTCTATCATCAAAGACTCTCTCACTTCTGCGAACCGATCAGCAAATAAATTGGCATACAAACTTGATCTTTCATTATGTATTATTTCCAACCCCAAGTCTCGACGAACCATTGACCAACTGATAAGTGCTAAAATGTACTGATTTTGAGTGTAAATAATTGGCACTTATTGGCTTGATTCAACCAATAAACCTCAACTTTTGTGCATATGTTGTATAGTTTAAATTATAGTGTATATATTGAGTGTCGTGTAAATTTCATTAAGTTTAATTGATTTTTTCTCATTTTTTGTAGGTATATAAGCAATGATATTTTGTCATTATCTTATAGAGCATTGAATAAGCTTTCCAACGCTTTCGGCCGTGCGTAAAACAGAGTTACGGTTCAGAAGTTATGGTTGAAACAAGTGCTGGTTTGCTGTCATGTTCGTCAGGCGAACAAAAGTTCGCCAGGCGAACAGAAAGATCAAAAACGCGTGAAAAACACTGTTTTGGCAGTAGCAAAAGTTGCATATGTTCGCCAGGCGAACTGGACTTCGCCAGGCGAATGCTGAGACCCATTTTTGTCTATTTAAGTGATTTTTCAGCATTTTTTAGGTTATGTTGTTTGGGAACTTTTTACCCCAACTTCATCAAATACATTCTTGAGTAGATTTAGCTTAGAAACAACATTGGAAGGTGCATCTTGACGATCCGGAGTCGAATCCACTTCAATCGGAGTTGACAGACCGTGAGATTTGTGTTCTTCTTCCTTTCTCTCTATGTATTTTTCATTTGTTGGGGTTTTGTATGTAAATTTATCTTGATTGTATGTATATTTATGGATCTTTGTATAAAATCTCTTTTACAACTCTTTATCGATGGTTATCTTGATTTTTTACTTAATGGGTTTGGATTGCTATAGATATATACGGTTCAAACTCGATCTAAGATGAACATCTATTAGATTCTAAATGCTAGAGATAGATTTAGGACTAATATTCACGTGGGTATCGATTCTTAATGCTCCGTGTTGTCGATTTGTGTGAGAGATCAACAATGAGACGATACGATTGATCTCTTGACTTTGTGTTAGAGATAAACTCTGTTGTGAGTGATACGTGATGATATTGACGATCGAATTAGGTTGCGTGCATTTGATCCATATATTTTTTAGTGCATGATGGGTAGAACGAAATACAACTCCTGAAGACTTTTCTCATTTCTTAAGAATGTACTTATTTTATTGTTTTATGTTTTTCCTTTTGAATTTTTATCCCAAACCATTCAAACCCAAGCTTAGAGACGTAGAGATTGTCGAACGACATTCTTTCCCTCACACTGATCCCTGTGGAGACGATAAATCCCGGAGGAAATTCTTCCGAAAATAATATTTTTGCTTGCTGCTTTACCGCTTCAACACCAACCATCTTCACCATATTCATGCAATGAAGCAATGACTCTAAATCCACAATTATCATCTGATACAACATTAACTACATCATCAAAATATGACCTGATGTGATAGAAAACTGAAGGATGGACTTCTTAGATGACTGTGAAGATTGTGATAATTTCGACTTCTTTGAAGCCTGTGATGGTTGATATTTCTTCTGTGAAGATTGTGATAATTTCAACATCTTTGAAGTCTGTGATGGTTGAGATTGCCTCTATAAGATTGAGATGCTTGATCAATATACTCATGATATGAAGGGTCCCTATAAAAATCATACTCTAATGGTTTTTTACCTTTCTTCTTGACTCCCCCTTTCGTTTTTATTTTCTTAGGTGGTGGACACAAAGAAGTCATTGTGGGGAAGGCAAGTTCAAAAATCCTACTTTTTAATGCCCTTTTCCCAACAATATCTAGTGACCTAAACCTTTTTCATAACTCATCTATTGCACTACTCATATCCACCTCTGATCCATCATCTACGTCTTTCTCTAAATGATACGATGCTTTTTTAACTTCAATGAACATGCACAACATCTATAGGTATCGGTATACCACCAATTCTATATCATGTCAACTCACAAGCAAAAGGTAATCTGTAGGTTGTTCTAAGATTACAACGGCATATTTTCTTGTTAGTTCCAACATAATCAACTTGTGTTAACTCTTTAACAATGCGTCTCAATGCAACTCGCGACACTGAGCTACGTAAATTATTGTAAAATGGACTTACGTGGATGTGCTCAACTTCATAAAAACTCTTTTAAAATGAAGCTCTAATCTTGCCCAGTTATAACTTTAAGTTGTCATTCATAGCCTCCTAACATTTGACCATGTCACCAATACTGTTCTCCAACATCTGCTTTAACTTCCAATAAGCAGACTTAACCCTAAAAATAATACAAATTAAAAATACTTTAAAATATACAAAAAATAATATATAATTTAGAAATACTAAAAATAAATACATACCGATTAGTCGTGGTGTTACCCAAATGTATCACTCGATTAATCCATGCTCCAACAAATCTTTGTCTATGTGGTGCCAATCATATGTCCTTCACATAATCAATAAATTCATTACAATTAACACACGCCTGCTCAACTTGGTTCAACTTGGTTCAACTTTTGATCATACTAAATCTCATCACTAATCCATACAACTTCCGTCCATAAGTCTTCAATCGTCTTTTGGATGTTACTAACCACGTGTTGCTTGCATTTCACACCAACATTTTATTTAATGTGAAATCGACATAGCAAATTGATCGACCTTGGAAACACAATTTCAATGGCTTTCATCAAAGCAAGATTTCTATCTGTCACAATCACTTGGGAACACAAGTCTTTCTTCACAAACAATTCTTTAAGCTTATCTAATACCCAACAAAAAGTCTCAATCTGCTCAGACTCAATATACGCAAATGCGACAGTAAAAGTCAATTTGGTTGGTGTCATGCCAACAATTTCAAACAGAGGTTGTCTATATTTGTTTGTCTTGTAAGTGTTGTCCATAACTAACACAATAGAAACAATATTCAACAATTTACCAGAATCTGGATGTGCCCAAAGTATATCTCTAATAACTTCAGAGTCATCTCTTTTTCTACTCCAATAAACATAACCTGCACCCTTAATGAGCTTAAACAAATGTTGTATCTCACTTCTAGGACCTCTTATCTCTTTTTCTATCATGCTCTTCTGCTTGTATATTTTATGACCCGGGTGAGATTCTTTGGATCTTGCTCTTGCAAGGAAAGCAATATATGTCTAGGTGAAACATTTCTCTTTTGAAATCAACAACATGTTCCTTCTGATCCGCTGTAAACCTACCAACAAAGGAGTGACCTTCTAATCTATCAGGTAAACCATGGTTATGAACTCCATATTTTACATTAACTTTCTATCCAGACCCACCTTTCGAGGAGTTGACCTGATTTTAAATGGACATCAATATTTTTTCGTTGCACTTTGGGTACCACTATGAGTATCCTTGTGTTTCCCTCCTTTATCACAACCAAATATTAATTTGTTACTTCTCCTTTCAACATCTGAACGAGTGATGATAACTGTTACTTTATTTCGGATTCTGATCTCTTTAATCCATCTTATGACCTCTTCTTGTGTACCAAATCTTTGAGTAGTTGAAAAAACATGAGACATATATGGTCTTTATTGCATATTTGTGGAGGAATTTCCGTACATGCAGAATAAAAAACAATTAAAAAAAATTACATTTACGAAAACAAACCAGAAGTCTCGTGAACATAGTTTTGGTACACAAAAGTCAACAAACCGAAACTCTTAGGAAAAGTGATCCGGTACACATTACTACCAAACGGGAACTCTTAAAAAAAGTGTTTCGGTGAACATTATAACCAAACCGGAAGACATGACAAAAAGTGTTTCGGAAGAGTTGTAAGTAGGTCTCAGAATCAGGAGTCTTTTTCTAACACATCTGGTACATGTTTTGTAATGAAGCATAACTCTTAGCAAGAATCTTCTGGTGTGCGAAAATTCATACCGGAAGTCATTCCAAAAGTGTTCTGAAATGATGTTGATGGGGTGAATTTTTCGGAACTATGACAGTTTGACATGAATAGTAAAAAGTAAAAATAAATAAATAAATAAATAAACAGAAATAACATTGACATTTTTTTTAAAAAATGTAGGAGTGTAAGTATAATTGTAAGTGTATGGAGTAAAATTTTTAATTTAAAAAGAAAAAGAAAACATATAAATAATGTAAAGAACAAGCCAAATTCAAATACATAAAAAATCAGGAAGTATTAAGGAGCGTGGCCCCAATAGCTGACTACGCGTATTCACATTATGATAACTACACATAACAATTTATCATAACAATCAAAAAGAGTAAATCCCACGTTCTTCGCAATAAGGTGAGAGCAAGTTATCATAAATCTAGCAATTTTAGCACGTAGAAATTAATCTCTTTAATATTACTACGCTTTGCAAATTGTAAAAGAAAAAAGTATAAGTAAGTATCTTGATAAGTCTTCTTTTTTGACTTCCAATTTGTGTGTGTGGACATGATGTGTTTAGTTGGGTGAATGGAGTGTGGTGTAAAGAATCTTTTTTTAATGAGAAAAAATCAACTAACATGCTATTGATAAGAAACTTGGAATTAGCAAACTTGAAGGTGCAGGAAAATTACTAATATTAAATAAACACTTGTTCACGTCAAAGCTCATTACTCTCTCTTCTTTTCTTCCTTCCACTGTAGTAACAGTATTCCTCTAAAAGTTTATAGCTTATTCAGATGGCCAGCACCAGCACCAGCAACACCACTTCATCTCTTGTGAAATCTCCAAAGAGAAATTACTATGACATGTTTGTGAGCTTTAGAGGTAAAGACACTCTCTTCAGTTTCACTGACCATCTTTTCGCAGCCCTCCAAAGAAAAGGTATTTATGCATTCAGGGATGACACTAAGCTCAATAAATGTGATTCCATAACACCTGAGCTCTTTCAAGCAATCGAAAACTCTCAGATTTTCATCGTGGTTTTCTCTAAGAACTATGCTTACTCAACTTCGTGCTTGAGAGAATTGGAATGCATTCTTGAATGCGTTCAACTATATGGAAAACGAGTTCTGCCTGTTTTCTATGATGTTGATCCTTTTGAGGTTAGACGTCAAAAAGGAACTTATGGAGAAGCCTTAGCTAAACATGAAGAAACATTCCAACAAGATTCTGAGAAGGTGATAAGATGGAGGGCAGCTCTAGCACGCGCCACAAATTTCTCTGGCTGGGATGTACGTCATAAGTAAGTAATCTTCCTTTTCGATACGTTAATTTAGTAATGAATCAAAAAGCCCCTTACAAACCTTTTAATTTAAACGAAAGAGTTTTTTCCAAATGGAAAAAAAAGACGAAAAAACTCAATTATGTAAATGGCCCATTTTTGTTTTGGTTATGGTATGTGATGATTTGGTGTTGTTGGTGAACTCTCTCAAACTTGCAGGCCACAATGTGCAGAGATTGAAAAGATTGTTGAACAGATTATAAATTTATCAACAAGGAGAAATTATTTTGATGTGTTTGTGAGCTTTAGAGGTGAAGATACTCGCTTCAATTTCACTGACCATCTTTTTGCAGCCCTCCAAAGAAAAGATATTTCTGTATTCAGGGATGACACTAAACTCAAGAAAGGTGAATCTACAGCACCTGAGCTCCTTCGCGCAATCAAAGACTCTCAGATTTTCATAGTGGTTTTCTCTAAGAACTATGCTTCCTCAACTTGGTGTTTGAGAGAATTGGAACACATCCTTCTTCACTGTGGTCAACCACCGGAAAAACGTGTTCTGCCTGTTTTCTATGATGTTGATCCTTCTGAGGTGAGACATCAAAAACGAACTTACGGGAAAGCCTTTGCTAAACATGAACAGAAGTTCCAACAAGACCTTGAGAAGGTGATAAGATGGAGGGAAGCTCTAGCACAAGTTGCAGATCTCTCCGGCTGGGATGTACGTCATAAGTAAGTAATCTTCCTTATCAATACGTTAATTTAGTAATCAGTCAAAAAGCCCCTTATAAACCTTTTAGTTTAAACAAAAGAAGAAAAAAAAGGAAGAAAACAAAAACTCTATTATGCAAATGGGCCATTTTTGTTTTAGTTATGGTATTTGATGATTTGGTGTTGTTGGTGTACTGTCTCAAACTTGCAGGCCACAATATGCAGAGATTGAAAAGATTGTTGAAGAGGTTATAAACATATCAACAAGGAGAAATTATTTTGATGTGTTTGTGAGTTTTAGAGGTGAAGATACTCGCTTCAATTTCACTGACCATCTTTTTGCAGCCCTCCAAAGAAAAGATATTTCTGCATTCAGGGATGACACTAAACTCAAGAAAGGTGAATGTATAGCACCTGAGCTCCTTCAAGCAATCGAACACTCTCAGATTTTCATAGTGGTTTTCTCTAAGAACTACGCTTCCTCAACTTGGTGTTTGAGAGAATTGGAACACATCCTTCTTCACTGTGGTCAACAACCGGAAAAACGTGTTCTGCCTGTTTTCTATGATGTTGATCCTTCTGAGGTGAGACATCAAAAACGAACTTACGGGAAAGCCTTAGCTAAACATGAACAAAAGTTCCAACAAGACCTTGAGAAGGTGATAAGATGGAGGGAAGCTCTAGCACAAGTTGCAGATCTCTCTGGCTGGGATGTACGTTATAAGTAAGTAATCTTCCTTATCAATACGTTAATTTAGTAATCAGTCAAAAAGCCCCTTACAAACCTTTTAGTTTAAACAAAAGAGTCTTTTCTAAAAGAAAAAAAAAAGAAGAAAAAAAACAACTCTATTATGCAAATGGGCTATTTTTGTTTTAGTTATGGTATTTGATGATTTGGTGTTGTTGGCGAACTGTCTCAAACTTGCAGGCCACAATATGCAGAGATTGAAAAGATTGTTGAAGAGATTATAAATTTATTAGGTTGCAAATGGACCGAGACCTAAAATAGGAATAAGTATTTTAAATAAGGTACCTCTTGGTGGGGTAAGATCATTCCAATAATTCTTGAAATAGATCTTTTTTGTGATCATATGTGCCTTATCTATTTCTCTATGGAATTATTGTTTTATATTCCGAAGTTTATAGACAAAAATATTAGCCATGTTTATCATTTAAGTTGTATATGTAAACAAGATCATGTGTAGCTGGAGAAACTCCTTAGCTGGGAAGTGCAAGTTTTTGACAATTGAACCATTTGTCTAAACTAGTAATAGATGTGGGCATCCTGTGTCTATACGATTACATAAAACTATCTCCTCACGTGTGACTCTTTTGCTTTTTGAAAAGTACAAGAATTAAAATTGAGAAACACTAGTAGTGGATTGTTTTATATATAGAAATCACCAAGACATAAACCGTGGTGAAAAGTTTCTCATTAAAAGAGTATGCTTCTCACCATTGCTTTTAGTTATGATTGTGGTGAGAATCAATAAAATAGGAACATGATTTATTTTGATTTTGTTTCATGCGTTTTTTTTTTTTGGTTTTGCGTGTCTCACTTAATGTGTCATGAAACTTTTATAAAATTATTTTTTTAAAGGTATGAAATAAATTTTAAAAAATTAGAATAAAATAATAAATATTTAAAAGTATAAAAAATATGATCAACTGGTATGTTAAAATATTTTGTATTTTTAAATTAAATTTTAAGGTAGTTTTCTGAGGTGAGACAGCAATTATATCCCTCACCAATGTACTAATAAAAAATTATTATATCTTTTCAAAATAATTTAAAGGCTTAGATTTGTTAGAAAAAATTATTGATTGAGCACCCATGTCTTCTAACATCCTTTTTCTAACTTTCGTTTTTCATCTTTTTATTTTACGGTCTATTTTACATTATCCTGCATCTTTTTTTCAATTAATACCCTTGCCACCATCATTCAAACACAGAAGAAGAAAAAGTTCATGATGGTTTTTAGATTTTCTCTCATTATCCCTCCTATTTCACCCAAACTCGAAAGAAGAAAAAGTACATGGTGGATTTTAGATTTTTATTTCCTTTTTATATTTTGAGATCCATTAAAGGTTTCTTTTTAATTTAATTCTAGGTTTATTCTTCTTGTTTTATTTTTAATCTCCGATTAAGTTTACTTCTCATTTAATCTCACACATAGGCACTATTACTTAAGTTACCCTTATTATTTTATTTAGTTGCTCTAGCTGTTTTATTTAAGCCTTAAGCTCATTCAATAGGCTAGCACATTAGTAGAGACATGTTATTTTTCATGTATACGTTAGGGCATTCCTCCCCTGATTGATTAATGAGAAATATAATTTATGTCTCATTTTTTATGATGTATGACTTCTATACCACTATGTTGTGATGTAATGGGTAACAATATCTATTTATATATATATTAAATCTGATGCATTGAATATTGCAGCGACACATCATCAATTATAACTTATTTGTATACATGGACAATTAGTTTATTAATTATAAAACAATTTAAAAAAGAAATTTTTCATTTACTTTTTAAACTCATTGACACATCATCAATCATTAATTAATATAATTAAATTTTTTTTATGAAACTCTTTATTCTATTAATAGATATTAATGATAATGATATAATATTGTTCATATTCCTACTCCAATTTCAATTATAAATTAATAAAATAAAACACATAAAAATATTTACATTCCTATTCCAGTAAAGGGTATGTAACAAAATAAAATTGATATAATTAAATTTTTTTATAAAAGTCTTCATTCTTTTAACATTAATTTAAAAAGTAAAAAATAAAAATAAATTTTGTTTTAATAATCATTAAAATTATAAATAATATATAAAAAATAAAAAATAGATTCATTAATATTTACTATAGAGAATTTTTTTTTAAAAAGTGATCTGACCTGATCAGAAGGGGATCACGATATGGCCGCACGCTGCTGGGCTGCTACCTATTCACCGGTGATGAGAAGGAAGAGGGGGGTGTACCTGCAAGACACTCCGATGCCAAAGTAAGAAGTTGGGCAGAGTGGAAGCAATAGTACAGAAAGGGGCAAGAAGAGAGTTACCTCACCCTCTTGAGGAAGAGGGTATTTATAGAGAGACCCCAGCGCTGGGCCAACGGTCATTTGAGATGGGCTGGATGACCAGGCCCAACCCTAATGACTGCTAGGGCTTACGTGGCGTAGTGAAGACCAGGACGTGGTCTTCGCCCTAGTCCAACTGCTCCTAGATCTCCGGAAAGTGGGTTTGACCTGCTCTTTCGGAGGTGGGCAGTTGGTTGATGACGTGTCCCCGCGGAGGGGAGCACGTGGAGAACGTGCGCCGGGCACGTTGTTCTCCCCGCGGAGGGGAGCTCGCGAGGTGCCCCGGAGCACGTTGTTCTCCCCGCGAAGGGGAGCTCGCGAGGTGCCCCGGAGCGCGTTGGTCTTCCCGCGGAGGGGAGGAACCACGACCGCGCTTTGGTGAGCCGGGGATGGTTCTGCTCGTCTGGTATGATGGATGGTGAAATGCTGTTGGGGCGTTGCTTGTGTCCGGCGGCGTGCCCTGCTCGTCTCGAGGTATTCACGTGCCCGGCGTGCCCGATTCGCCTGTTGGGCCGTACGTGGTATTGGGCCTGCCGAGGTCGGGCCCATACCGAAACAAAAAGAAATAAAGAATAAAATTATTTACTACATTATTCATATTTTTATATAAATTTTAAATTACTTAGTTTTTAAAAATAACTAATACAAATCATTGTTTCAATAAAATAAAAAATAAAAATAAAAGTCGTAAATCATAAATATAAAAAATAATTTAATAATTTTTTTATGTATCATAATAAATAATAATTAAATAAATAAATAGTAATAAATACCTTAGTCATTATTATTATTATTATTATTATTATTATTATTATTATTATTATTATTATTATTATTATTATTATTATTATTATGTATGATAACTAAGTTATAAGCTATGAAAAATAATAATGATAATAATATTGTTCATATTCATATTCCAATTAAAAATATAAATTAATATAATAAAAATAACAATAATAATAATAATAATAATAATAATAATAATTAAAATAGAATAACAATAAAAATAATATTATTTATCAATTTCTTTATGAAAGTATATTGTGACACTAAATATAAATTTAAAAGCCCGTTACATGTTACATTATAATTATAAAACTTAACTAAAATATTTATCAACTAATTCTAAACAATAAATTTATATCAATACTATCTTTTAGTTATAAATATAATCTATTATGTTTTCATTCTACCATTGATATTAGATGCGTTACTAATTTATTAATGTCTCTTTAGTTGATCGGTTATACCTGAAAAGCCCATTCATTTCAATAATTCATAGAAAACCATCTAAATTTCCCAAATCTCTCAATAGTTTATCAGTATAAATAAAAAAATTTATCTCCAATTTTTTTTCACTTCTTACACTTGATTTCTCATATGTGAGAATTGTAGAATATGTCTAAACTTTTTCATCATTTGTTTGTAGTTAATTATTATTTTTTGTAATAACTTTGTTCTACCCATGAAACTTTAGATATTAAACGTCTATTTCTCCATTTTTATTAATTAAATATTTATTATTATTATTATTAGTATTAGAGTAATAGTTTTATGACTATTGTGTTTATTAATATTTTTTATTTAATTCACATCATGTAAGGATTTGCCCCTCAATATTGACAATTCAATAGTAAACCTACTCAATATTTGTCTCTATTGAAACCGTTGTTTATGAAAACCAAAAAAGTTGATATTCTCCACCTCCCCAATCTTTAAAAAAATGAACACATGGAAATTTAATCGTGTATACAACATGCCTATTTTTAATACACTTTAAAAACTCTATTGTAAATGGTCTAAATTAATGTGAAAACTCTATTAATTAAATATTTATTATTATTATTATTAGTATTAGAGTAATAGTTTTATGACTATTGTGTTTATTAATATTTTTTATTTAATTCACATCATGTAAGGATTTGCCCCTCAATATTGACAATTCAATAGTAAACCTACTCAATATTTGTCTCTATTGAAACCGTTGTTTATGAAAACCAAAAAAGTTGATATTCTCCACCTCCCCAATCTTTAAAAAAATGAACACATGGAAATTTAATCGTGTATACAACATGCCTATTTTTAATACACTTTGAAAACTCTATTGTAAATGGTCTAAATTAATGTGCAAGACCCTAGTACGAATCCTCACAATATTTCATATCTATAAAGATATAAAATTTATTAAGATATTTCATGAACAAAAACATTATTGAAATTACTCTCTTCTTATTTCTTCTATTTATTTTATTTGACTATTTAATTAATCTGTTATAAATTTCATTTTTATTTTATTGTAGTGTTCATTTTATTGAAATTATATATGTCAATACTTTCTACCAAAAGAAGAAAAAGAATTTCCTCAAGTTTGATATAGAATGTATTGAATATGACTTCAATTCTTTTGTCCAATAAATTATATAAAATTAACAAGTTTAATAATATATTACAAGCTCGATCTAAAAAAAATGAAAGAGTTAGACTACAAAAATATTTCCTCTCAGTTCACTAATAACTCTAATTTGTTTTCTCAATACCTTACTTAACATACTAAATGTAAAATCACATCAATAAAGAATTTGATTAATAAATATTATACCAGACTTATTAATTGACAATTAAAAATATCTATGATAAAATATATATTTTCATTAAATAGGAAATTATATATATGCACAATATTGATGATAACATTTTTATTTTAGATTGTATAATTTTAAACTCGAAAAAATTTCTAAATATCATGAGCAAAAGACATAAGAAAAAGCAGAAGAGCATGCTTTAAGATTTTTATATTTATAAACATTATAATCTTAATAAATTATAATTTCAAAACATTTAAAATAACAAATATTTTAAAAATGTATGAGAATAGTTTTCACTTGTTTTTTTCAAGTCTACTCGCGCATCGCGCAAGTCAACATCTAGTTCTTCATTCATTGTATTTCTAAAATCTCAATTTCTTTGCACCACGTGTATGCTTTCCACACCAACTCAAGATTTTCATCATATTCTCATCTTCAAAGTTTTCTCTTTTATCTTGCTTCTCTTTATGTGTTTAAGTTTCACTGGCTTTTTTAAGATTTTGTTTGTCCACTTGTTATCACCATATGCCAAAAGAACAAGTCATCTTTTCATCCTTTCAATCTTTCTCACTCTCATAGTTATTTCCATTATTCTTCTCTCATTTTTCGTCTTCATACATTCAATACATAAACTAATATTTCATTCAAACATTTTCTCTCATTATCCCTCCTCTTTCATCCAAACTCTCTAACTCTCAAACTCGACATCTCTACATAACGACAACGTCTTTACTCACCATGGGCGACTCTCATAGAGGCACCACTGAAAACATCGCTGAGTTTGTAAGTTTTTTGTTCTTACGCATGTTTACAATCTTATCTAATAAAACGTTAATTATTTTAGTTCTTGTCTAACGAAATATTAATTATTTTGCAGGATGTATCAAGGTTTCGATGTCGTATGCATGATTACATACCACACGACCCCCTCATAGCGGGGTACCTTCGTAATTGTGGGTTTGGTGATTTGATCAAAATCAAATCATACTCACTCGATACAAAGTTTATTCTAGCGTTGTTAGAACGCTGGAGACCGGAGACACATACATTTCACCTACCTTTTGGTGAGTGTACTGTGACTCTCCAAGACGTATACATGTTGCTCGGCTTACACATCGATGGTAAGGCCGCCAACGGCAAAGTTGGTGTCCCTGACCGACTTTGCGAAGATTTATTGGGCGCCCTTCTTTGTGTGGACGCACCTCAGGCAGAAAGCGATGGCCGCCCGAGGGGTCAGGGAATTAATTTAAAATACCTCAGAGAATAATACAACAGTATTGTCTTAACTGATGATAGCACCGAATATGACATAATAGTCAAGACACGGTGTTATATTATGATTTTGTTCGGTCACTTTTTATTTCTAGAGGGAACTGGAAATAACGTCCATACCATGTATTTGCCATTATTACGAAATATAAACAAAGTGCGTGAATATAGTTGGGGATCAGCTGTCCTTGCCCATCTGTATAGCGCACTTTGCAAAACTTCAAAAAAAAATTCCTGTACTTTTTATGGCTGTGCCTATCTCCTACAAGCGTGGGGTTGGTCCAGGATGCCAACGCTTGCTCCGATAAACCGGAATTATTTTACATTCCCGTACGCCAACAAGTAAGTTTCTTTTCAAGATTATTTAGCAACTAAATTTTCTTTGTAACTTAATAATTTGTGAGATGTGTTTTAGATGCTAACTTATATGGGTTTATTTTTTAGGTGGTCAGTTCCAGGGATGAATTATCAGAGATGTCCCAGACACTCTATAATTCAATACCGCAGCCTCATCGACCACCTTGGGCCAGATGATGTAAGTTATTTACCTTTAATTTGTCTAACTTATATGCATAAACTTGTCTATCTCTGTTTGTCTAAATGTATCCACCTTTATTGTAGTTTGTCTGGATGCCGTACGAGGGTCTCGACCACCAGTCCGACCACAATGATGCTGCTGTGTGGACATCAAGAACACCCATAATTAGGTTCACTACGGTGGAGATGCATCAAAGTGACCGGGTTAAGCTACAATTTGGGATGCATCAGGAAATTCCAGATGCTCCAGAAGAGTTGGGGCAGTGGCATCAAAAGCGGGTGGACGCACAGTGGAGTGTCAGTCATTGGAAGGAGTTTGCGAAGGATTTGTGTAAACACTGGAAGAGAAGAAGGCAACACGACTTAACCGACCGTATTGTGCACGGGGCTAGGCCAAGTCTTCAATATATGACTTGGTTTAGGTCTGTCACGACATCTCAGCCTTTCCTGTCCCAACCAACCTATTTGGTCGACCCAAGACAACGCGCTTCTTCGTCAAACACACAACAACAGTCCAATGCCCAAAATCAGCCTTACGAAAACCCATACATGCCAACAAATACCCCCTATCAACAACAACATCCTCATCATGACCCGTACATGCCACCCACCCATTCCCAGCCTCAACCACCGTACCATTATAGCCCTGATACGTCTTTTGAGCCTACCCCCTCCGCCTATAGCCCAAACAACTCATTTGACCCTACCCTCTCCAACTACCCCTCCAACTATCCACTATTTGACTACCACACCCCACAACAACCAACACACCATTTCCAACCCAATTCCATGTACGCATTCGGACAACCATACTGTCCATACTCCACCCAACCTCCCCGACAATCCTTCGAAAACATGGGCATTAGGTTTGACTACGGAAGCATCGTTGACAATGGACCTCCCGGCTATTGGGGGTCAAATGATGCAAAATCTAGTTGATACGCTGGGGCCGTCCCAACAGAACCCTCTTCCAAAACTCAACACACAACGACCAGACACACCACAACAACCTCGTTGTAGACCTCGTCGCAACGCGCATCCCCGCAGTGTGGCACCGGTGGTCACTTGGATAGAGCCGGCCATTAATTTTTTTTTGTTGTAATTTTAATTATATTGTAAATTAATGTATTTTAATATTTTTGACTTGTCTAAATATTTTTAAAGTTATTTAAATTAATATATATTAAATTACATTATATTGTAAATTAATGTATTTCAATATTTTTGACTTAAATTAATATATATATTAAATTATATTATATTGTAAATTAATATTTTTCACTTGTCTAAATATTTTTAAGGTTATTGTAAATTAATGTATTTTAATATTAATATTTAATTATATTGTAAATTAATGTATTTTAATAGGTAAAATATTTATTAAAATGTTCATTAATATTTATTTAAATGACAAATGCGTAACCCTAGCAAGCAACTAACTATGTCGCCATATGCATGAGCGACTCACTCAATTTTCTCTCTGTCGCCATTTGCTTTGGCGAATTCCTCTCTTTCCAAATTTCAGAATCATCATTGTCGCCATTTGCTCTGGCGACTGTCTGTTGAAACATAGTTAGTTTCATAATTTTTTTGATTGTTTTGTTTTTTTGGTAAATAGTAACCAATAATTGGTTACTTTAAAAAAAATTCAGGGTTTAACTCTGAAAATTTTGTACTGTATTCTGCTTTACATGCTTCAAAAACGATGATTTATGTAAAATTGTCCCCTTTTATTTTTATATAATATATTTGTTGTTTAAAATATTCAAGCGTCATATTTGATCAAAGGATTTTTTTCATGAATATATATATATATATATATATATATATATATATATATATATATATATATATATATATATATATATATATATATATATATATATATATATATATATATATAGATCAACTTAGTCAAAAAAAATAGTTAAATTACTTCACATCATTACCTCACATAAATAGTTATATATATATATATATATATATATATATATATATATATATATATATATATATATATATATATATATATATATATATATATATATATATATATATATATATATATATATATATATATATATATATATATATATATATGGATCAACTTACTTCACATCATTACCTTTAAATTAAATGTAATCTAATAGTTAAATTAATATTTTATTTATAATCATTCGATTAATCGAATGATTATATATATATATATATATATATATATATATATATATATATATATATATATATATATATATATATATATATATATATATATATATATATATATATATATATATATATATATATATATATATATATATATATATATATATATATATATATATATACTCTTTTCAATACAAATTGTTGGTTGTTTTCCTTTTTGTTGCTTTTCTCTCTAAAGGTTTTAGATTTTTGAAAGGTTTTACAAAGTCATTCTTAATTAGTTAAATGACATTGATCTGCACAATTAATTTCAGTTTATATCTGGTTAATAGTTAGCATTTAGCGTTTCCAGTGTGTAATAAATACCAGAAACAAATAATAGCGTTTATTGATCACAATTAAGAAACTAAATCAGAGATGAAAGAAACTTCTGAAAGTCACATTGTACCTATTTTATCTCAATTTTTCAACCGAGTAAAACCAATTAATTAATCTCTCAGCTGGCTTCAATTCATAAACAGACAAATAAAAAACTAATTAGATTATAACGCGTAATTAGCAAAAAGTCAAAGTAAACTAGGAAGAAAATTAAATGATAAAGAAAACAAAAAGAACATAATTTCAGAATTTGTGATAGAATAAAAAACCGCCACCAAATCCCTACGTGCAAACCACAATCCATCTTTCTTCACACATATTACATCCGGTATAATAACTTCCCTCAAAACCCTAACAAACCATTCATATTTTCAACCTTAATATTCCTTCAAATAAAACCATAAAATTTTGTTCTCCTCTCATTTCCATCTCATTATTCTTTTCTTCTCCAATGGCACCGCCTCATGCAGTTGACACAATGCCATTACCGGTGCCACTACCGCCACCCATCCCTGAGACCCCTTCACCAACACCACTTCGCATGCCGATTTCCTTACAGCCGGCAAACAGCAAAACCAAACGCAGTTCAACCAACAAATTCTTCGGTCGTTTTCGTAATATGTTCCGGTCGTTTCCCATCATAGTGCCTTCGTGTAAGATGCCGACCATAAACGGAATCCGTGCAAGTGAAACAATCATACACGGCGGCACGAGGATAACCGGAACCCTATTTGGTTACAAAAAAGCAAGGGTGAACCTTGCTTTTCAAGAAGACTCTAAATGTCATCCATTCCTTCTCTTGGAGTTGGCTATTCCCACTGGAAAGCTTCTCCAAGACATGGGAATGGGGCTTAATAGAATCGCGCTGGAGTGCGAGAAGCACCCCAGCAACGATAAAACAAAGGTCGTAGATGAACCCATCTGGACACTATTTTGCAATGGGAAGAAAACAGGCTATGGAGTAAAGAGAGATCCAACAGATGATGACTTGAACGTGATGCAGATGTTGCATGTGGTTTCGGTGGCAGTCGGCGTGCTTCCGAGCGAAATGTCGGACCCTCAAGACGGAGAAATGTCATACATGAGGGCGCATTTTGAGCGCGTGATTGGGTCTAAGGATTCAGAGACTTATTATATGATGATGCCGGAAGGAAATAGCAATGGACCTGAACTTAGTGTGTTCTTTGTTAGGGTTTGATATATTGGAATGGCTAAGAGAGAAAATGGGTAAGAGGATGTTGAGTTTGTTTAAATATTTGTATAACACAGTTGATCCTTGTGTTACTTACTTGCATGCATGATTGCATGTGCTTAGAACAGATGTATATTCATATAAATAGAGTGATAGACACCAACTTTTTTGTAATGTATAAAAGTTGGTGTCTACCCCTCTCAAAATAAAGTGAGAGGACTTTTATACATTACAGAAAAAGTAGACTGCACTAAGCCCATAATACCATGCTTAGTGTGGCTAGAAGACAAAATAGAGCAAACCCTCTTAAGTAGTGATTAGCGCCACTACACCACGTTTAGCACGAAACTATTGGTTTGAAACGCTGGATGGCGTTTTGACCGCGCTTAGCTCCACTTGCAGGCTTTTGATCCAAAAATGCATGTTGAAGTCATTCTTTTGTCTTTTAACTCTCATGCGGTGGTCAATTTATCTAGGAGGATAGATTTGTGAAGGTAAAGCGAAGGATAGGGTGTTGTTGTATTGGTTCGGGTTAGGTGAAATTATTTGGATTTGAAATAATTTAGTTGTGGAGTGGGTTTAGATCAGTCTCTTCACTTGGGGGGCCAAAGCTGAAGAAAATTGGGTTTAGTGTTAGCTGTGAGCCTGTGAGGGTAATGTTTTGGTTTTGGTGTGTAAAGGAGATATTGAGATGGGTGTAATCCATTAGAACCGTCCCAATGGATTGAAGCCATGGAGATCCCAAAACCACATCGGATCCATAGAGAGGGAGAACATAGAAGTCAACTACAAACATCTCAAATTAGAGTGATAAAGGGACTGCGGCACAATAACTATTACAATCTGAATTGGCACCTTTACCCAACATAACTTTGAGGTTGGTGGTTGGTACTAAGGGAGCTCAAGGAAACGTTCTATTTGACCCTGAACGGAATTTTGTGTGCTTCCGCGGTAAATCAATACCGTGACATAGTGGTTTGAGTTGTGTCTGGTAAGGCGTTATGGTGGAGGCGGAAGCACTTCCAAAAATAGCATGAAGGTTAATTTGAGCTTCAGTGAGGCATTCGCCTATGGTGTTAGGTGGTTCGAATTAAAAGGAACTGGGTGTGATTTCAAGCATTTATGGGTTGGAATCAGGTGGTTCGCTTATGGTGTTAGGTTGGAAGCACATCCAAAAAGTACCATTATCCCCTCGAAAGAATGCATTGCCATACTTGTGCTTCAATTGCCCATTAGCATACTCTGTTCCTTCATGCTCTGTTCATATAGCCACCTTGACAAGCCAGGATACCTAGAAGATAAACCAAGAGGATTGAGCCTAGTTATGTGTACTTAGAAGCATGCAGAACGCAATCCGAACCAACCTACAGCAATATGTGATAGATATATAGAATCAAATTAGTAACAGATATCATTGAACCATCAAGAAACAATAATGCATTGTTCTAGAGCTATTACTCCGGTCTTGGAGATCCAGTTGTAGAATTAGCAGAAGAAGTGATATTATGCATTTCTGCACTTTCTTTGTTACTGTCTTGTTCAAGCAACTCAAGGATATGATGAATATTGATGAAATATTAGTGGAAGTTGTATTCAATACAGTGAGTTTTTAGGATGAATTGAATATTTTAAATGAAGAGTTGTAATTGCTTATTCTACTAAATGAATTCAGTGACCTCGCAAGACTATTTAGAACAGGCATTTAATGTTTGGTTTTTCTTTTCCTCCTATATTAAATTTGTTTGTAATTATGTAACTTGCTCCTCATATTCATATATTTCATTGTATTTGGGTTAGTACTGTATTATCTTCATTTTTTATTGTCCATGTATATTTAGAATTGAAGTTTATCTAGCAAGTTATTGGGGGATAACCCAAGTTAATTGAAAATGGAGAAGTTGATTTGCATTCCATTAAAAATGGCATACATAATGGGTTAGCTGTCCATTCTCTTTTATAAGTTGATGAAGTAAACTATCAAATTGTATAGTCAACCTAACATATACATGCGATCCGATCCGATCACATCTCTCCATGTTGATATTATAAATATTAATTATAAAATATATCGACAAGATGCTGTTCAGATTTGCAAACTAAATGCTATTATTCTTAATTACAAACTTGTTCACAGGTCATTCCATGCCGTCCTTGCTTTATAAATTCTACATTTTATACCATGTTATGGCCTATCTACTACTCCTTTCTTCCTTCCTTCCTTCCACTGTAATAATCATTCTTATCTTTGCATTCCTTCTACTGCAGTAGCAATAATCTATTCTACACATCAATAAACCATTTATATATCATCCTCCTACAATTCACCTTATTCAGATGGCCACCACAAGCGGTAATAATAGTATCAATCAAAGTAGCACCAACACCACTTCATCTCTTGTGAAATCTCCAAAGAGAAATTACTATGACGTGTTTGTGAGCTTTAGAGGTAAAGACACTCGCTTCAGTTTCACCGACCATCTTTTTGCAGCCCTCCAAAGAAAAGGTATTTGTGCATTTAGGGATGACACTAAACTCAACAAAGGTGAATCCATAGCACCTGAGCTCCTTCGAGCAATCCAAGACTCTCAGATTTTCATAGTGGTTTTCTCTAAGAACTATGCTTCCTCGACTTGGTGTTTGAGAGAATTGGAACACATCCTTCTTCACTGTGGTCAACCACCGGAAAAACGTGTTCTTCCTGTTTTCTATAATGTTGATCCTTCTGAGGTGAGACATCAAAAAGGAACTTACGGGGAAGCCTTAGCTAAACATGAACAAAGATTCCAGCAAGACTCTGAAAAGGTGATAAGATGGAGGGAAGCTCTAGTACAAGTTGCAGATAACTCTGGCTGGGATGTGCGTCATAAGTAAGTAATCTTCTTTATGGATAACATGGATGCTCTTGTTCAAATTTTAAAGCTTTGGCACACTAACGTAGTTAAAAATCAAAAGCCCCCGACAAACTTTTTTATTTAATCCAAAGAGTTTTTTTTTCTAAAACGGAAAAGAAAAAAAAAAGAAACTATTATTTGTTATGTATTTGTGCTTTTTGTTTTAGTTTTGGCATGTGATTTGTTGTTTTTGGTTAACTGTTTTAAACATGTAGGCCACAACATGCAGAGATTGAAAAGATTGTTGAAGAGATTATTAAGATATTAGGTTGCAAGTTTTCAAGTCTTCCAAAAGATTTAGTAGGGATACACTCTCCTATACAAGAATTAGAAAAGCATTTACTTTTGGACTCACTTGATGATGTCCGTGTTGTAGGAATTTGTGGGATGGGTGGAATAGGGAAGACAACTCTTGCCAATGCTTTATACAACAAAATCTCTCCTCAATTTGATGTGTGCTGCCTTATTGACGATTTAAGCAAAAGTTATAGGCAAGATCCGATCAGTGTACAAAAGCAGATTCTACTTCAAACTCTAGGCGATCAACAGCTTCAAACATTCAACTCTTGCAATGCATCTAACCAAATAGGAAGTAGACTACATCGTGTAAAGGCCCTTATAACTCTTGACAATGTTGATCAAGTTGAGCAACTCGAGAAATTAGATCGTGAATGGTTTGGTCCGGGGAGTAGAATAATTATAATTTCTAGAGATGAGCATATATTGAAAGAGTATGGAGTGGATGTTGCTTACAAAGTTCCACTCTTGAATGATAAAAATTCTCTTCAATTACTAAGTCGAAAAGCTTTTAAACTTGATCATATCGTGAGTAGATATTATGAGTTGGCATTTCAGATACTACATTATACCAATGGCTTGCCACTTGCAATTAAAGTACTCGGTTCATTTTTGTTTGGTCGTAATATCTCTGAATGGGAAAGTGCATTGGCAAGATTGAGAGAAAGTCCAAACAAAGATATCATGGATGTGTTACAATTAAGTTTTGATGGCTTGGAGGAAACAGAAAAGGAAATATTTCTTCATATTGCTTGTTTTTTCAACTGGGAAATAGTGGAATATGTTACGAATGTTCTTAATTGTTGTGGATTTCAAGGTGATATTGGATTAAGAGTTCTAATTGATAAATCCCTTATAATGTCAACAGGATATTGTATTCAAATACATGGTTTGTTGATTGAGTTGGGCAAAAACATTGTTCAAGAAAAATCAAGAAAGTGGAGCAGAGTTTGGCTCCTGGAACAGTTCTACAATGTTAAGTTGGAGAATATGGTAAATCAACAGTTTGAAAATATAAAACTTATTTTCATTTTTATAAATTTTATTTTGAAAGTTTTGAAAGTTTTTCTTTCTTTGGTAATGTTTTAGGAAAACAAGGTTGAAGCCATTTATCATGATAGTGGAAAAGATTCATGATTATGGGTGAAACTTTGTCGAAAATGAGCCATCTAAGATTGCTCATAATGGAGGAAGTTAATATTTTAGGAAACCTCAGTTGCATTTCTAACGAGTTAAGATACGTGGAGTGGGATAGATATCCTTTCAATAATTTGCCATCAAGTTTTCAGCCCAATCAACTTGTTGAATTGGTCTTGAGGTATAGCAGCATCAAACAACTATGGAAAGACAAGAAGGTACTGTATAATGTATATTCCCTTTTTGTTTATTTTTTCCTGTTAAGAATGTAACATGAACAAATCACAAAGAAAATGCTCCCTCCTCCTCTTTATGTTAAATTTGTGCGCAAAATGAGAGTTTATTTTTCTATTTTTGTTGGTATGTGACAGTATTTTCCCCATTTGAGACGTTTGAATCTGAGCCACTCAAAAAATCTAAAAAAATGCCGGATTTTAGAAGTATCTCAAATCTTGAGCGATTAAGTTTTGAAGGATGTGTAAAGTTGGTGCAGATGGATCCTTCTTGTGGAAGTGAAATGCCAAGTTGGTGCAACAATCAGAGTGAGGGTGATTCGATAAGAATAGATCTATCTCCCATTATGCCTGACAATGACAATAATATTTATGGCATTGCTTGTTGTGCAGTATTTTCTGCTGAACCTCTTCAACCAAATGCTTTCCATGACAACATACACAACAAAAGGTCTCGCCAAAAATCTGGAATACGACTTATTTGTAAATATAAAAATAAAAGGTGGCCGTGTGGGGTCATCCCTTCAAACTGATCTTATTGAGATCAAATCAGATCACATGTGCCTAATCTATTTCCCTCTGAAATCAATCTTTAATTTTCTGGTTTCTAAATACGAAACTCTCAGCCATCTTGATCATTGTAAGTTGGATTTTGAAATTCTTTGTAACGAAGATACACGTTCAATTTATATGAATTGTACGGTTCAGAAGTGCGGGTATTATTGGGTATATAAACAAGATCTTGAGTCGCTGCCAAAACTCCTTAGCTCGGAAGTGAAAGTTTTTGACAATCGAATGTGAGGCACAACAACAATTGTATATCTGATTATATAAAACCATATTGAACCAAACTAGTAGTAAACTAGCATGTGTGACTTAATGAACAATCAACAAATAGTGAATGTATTATTCTAAAGCTACTAATCCGGTCAAGGAGATCCAATAGTAGAATCAGTCATTCATCAAGGTGTTTCATCATTGCATCATTTTCTTGTTAGATACACATAATATGATTAAGATTTGTTTATGGTCTCGGTTTTTAGAATTTATTTGTTGAAATAACAAAATAAATGGTCAAAAATTACACTTGAGACTTCTTAGTGAGAATGTGTCACGGGTTACATCTATTACTGCCAAATCATCACAACGTTTTATGAAGCAGTATATTGTTATTGATAGATAATGTTCACGAATGATCATGTTAAAACCATTCAAATATTGTTTCTCTCCATTAATTGGTACAAGTTTTTTTATAAATAGCGATATTTGTTAGGCATATTACATGTTTCAAGTATAAAAAAAATATATCTAGCTTATTCTTTTATTTTTCTAGTGCACGAGAATAAATGAGAGAACTTTATTCTATAAAATATCGTTGATTGATATGTTTAATATGAATGTGTAATTCATGTTAAGATTTACAAAGTATCTCGAACGAGATTTATCAGATTACCCGTTTGTATCCAATTTGTATAAATTGGTGGGACGAATCGAACTTAAAGCTTAGTGTAAACACACGATTTAAAACTTATTATATGAAACTTTCATCATACACTACAACATTTTGAATATACAGCAACACAAAAAAACCGTTGCAAAATCTAAAAAAGTCGTTGCCTTTACATATGAGAACAGTTTTCAGGGCATTCTAAACCAAGGCGTTGTTTTAGCCTTTAGGTACGGTTATTTAGCCAACGGCAACACCTTGTTCAGAGCCGTTACTGTAATTTTATATAGAGAACGGCCTAGAACAGCAACGGCTGGAGGTCGTTTTCAAATTTAAACCGTTGCAATTGTTGTTTATTAGAGAACGGCTATTTTATGAAATATAGCAACGGTTCTTAGCCGTAGCCTATTCTAAACCGTTCTAATAGAGGCTTAAGTTCAATTTTTCTTCATAGGTTATAGCAACGCCTTCTTTACTACGGACACACTTTGTAACTGTTGCAAAAAAAATTATTTTATTTTATAAACCAAATAAATTTATTTATTTTTTAATAAAATAAATTTTTATTTTATTTTATAAACCTGATAATAACATTATTCAAAATTTTTTTATATAATAATATTCAAATACAAAACATCTTCAAATTGAAAAAGATCCAACAACAAAACATCTTCAAATTACATATCGTAATGTCAACAAAACATCTTTAAATTACATATCGATTCCAATGTCAATCATCATTCATAGTCAAAATAACATCTTTAATCAATTTCTTTCGATGGTCCAGCTTTTGAATGTTTCCAACATTGGTGTTTATAGGATTGCTTCCTTGATTTGTTGGGTTGTCTTTTAAAGCTTTTTCATTTCCAACCTTGATTTTCATCTTCCTCTTTAAATCCGTGCTAGACTTAGCTTGGAAATCAAACACAAAATCGTTCTGGTTCGTCATTTTCCTGCAATAGAAAGTAAAAACAATTAAAGAGGTGATTGGAATTACTGTTGCTGCTAATTAGTGCTTTGAGTAAATACAATGATACAAGAGAACTTGACAATTACTGCTGCTGCTAATTACTGCTGATCAACGAACTTGACAATTTATGTTGCTGCTAATTACTGCTGCTGCTAATTATGCTACTCAACGAACTTGACAATTACTGCTGCTGCTAATTACTGCTGCTGCAAAACATAACAATTCATAATATATCACTGATATTATAAAGAGGAAGATGAAAATCATAATACTGCTGCTGCAAACATTACAATTCATTATACTGTTGCTGCAAGAGAATAAATTCATACGTGACATTATAAATTCATAATATGGAACATACAACACCATTGAGTTTAATTGTAGATTCACATTTCACAATATAGCCATAACATACAGCACATAATCCTGTGAAATACAATAGATAATTACAACCAAACAATCAGTTCACAAGACAATACATCCAAACAATCCAAATAGAAATCACACACATATCTAGCCCAAGTATTATTACATAGCTTAATTCACACCTTCCTATCCAATTTTTTATAAGACCAATATCAATATTACTAAAATGGCTTCTAATTGAACCAAGACCATAACAGTTAACAAAATAGCTCATTTTCAAATAACATTAACCAAATTAACAGAACTGCTAACTGATGTCCACCATTTTCACTAACTAACTTCTACCAAGTTAACTAAATTTTGTCTTAACTCTAACTTTGAACCAATTCCTAACTTCTAGCCATAGAACCCTAACTGTTTTTTAACTACTAACATTTTCTCTAATCTTTAACTAACTACCATAACAGTGCAAATAATTCACTAACAGTTCAAAGAATAACTTAGCAAATTAATAACTAACTCCTTATTCAGTTAACATTAACCAGTCCCATTAATCTAACAATCCTAACAATTGAAATAGGTCTATTAATTAGATATTACTACAACCAGTCCAGTTAGCATAGCAACCCAAACTAACATAATGCCTAGCCAAAGTCTAGTTAATTTAGTTCACTAACTATCACAGTTTAGACTAACCTAAACTGACATGTTCTTCTAACTTCCAGTATCATAACAATTCTACCAATTCAAACTAACATCTACTAATAATTAACCAATAACTAACTGTTATTCAAACCTCTAACTGTCAACTTTTTTAACTAACAAATATCAACTAATAGTTAACAACCCTAACTGTCCATCGGGTTTACGGGGATACTACTATTTATGGAAAAAACGTATAAGCAAAACAAGCAGAAAAGAAACACAGTAGAGCAACCCAAAGTGTTCAATTTGTCAAAATTGTTTCATTTTGTCATATAAAAACTAGCCTACCAGAACATGCTCATCTAGTGCAACAAGTAACATAAACTAGGAATTCACATCAAATTCAGAAATATCAGAAAAACAGTCCAACAAATTTTATAGATGGATGTCGATACAAACCTGATATAATGTCAGATAGCCATAAATAGTTGTAACTTCAGTCTGTAGGGTCTGAACTTCTCCTGATACTTCGGATATCCGGTACTTAAGATAGAACAATGAATTCTAGTTGTATACCAGTACCTGTATCGGGACATGTGAAATCATAGGGTAGTCAACATTTGAGTGTTAAAAATTTCTTAGTAGGAACAAAAAATAGACAGAAGTTATGTTGAAATTTCTTAGTCTAAAGTTGTTACATTTACAATAAACCTAAAGTTTTGATGGAATCACATACTAACATGCTGAAAAGACAGAGGGGAAATACTAAAACATTTTTTTTAATTATTCAAGGACTGCAACACTATAAAAGTTTCAATAATAACATGATTTATAAAAATATTGCCACATATTTGACAAAATTGACCATTCAGATTCTTTACAGGTTTAGAGTGCAGAACATAGGAATTATAATACAGGTTAATATCACATCGATTTTTCACATCTAAAATTTCAATGACAAAGAAGTTAGATATCAACATAACCATAACCAAGATGTCTTCCAAAATTAGCATTTAAATGTATCAGGATTTGAGAATAAACTACATTTATTAATTATTTTTTGAACTGCAAACTAAATCAAAGTTCTAAGTCAATGGCCTAGCACAAATGTTTCCACCGAACAAAATGATATTATAATCTTTGGATCAGATGATTTTTTTTGTCTCACTTACTACTTATAGATTCAAATCCACACATTAATTGCAAATCACAAATTTAAACTACAAAAAGCACAAAATTCCCATCTTACATATTTTCAAACAATCAATAGGAAAACATCAGTATATGCATCAACAATCAAACAACTCAATGACCAACTAAATCATAGACCCTACAAAAAATGCTACTTTTGAGTACCGAGTAATTTACAAAAAGGACTAAAACTTGAAAAACTCCATTACACATTTTTATTGCAAGCATAAAAATTCAATTTTCTAACGAAATTCCATGACCCAGAAAAGAAAAAAAAAAGTCATCATTGAACATACTATGAACTAAAGTATTAAAAATATTTTATTTTTAATGAGAAACATCAACCCCAAAATCAGAGCCATGTCTAACTCGAACAAGCTCTTTCCTTTCATTCCACCCAATTGCTAATCCTTCCATCTTGTTACACATTCTTATAAACTCCATAAGGAATATTTTATCTTGCACTATACTTTTGTTCTAGGCTAATGAATTTTCCTTCATTATATGTTCAATAGTCATAAGTTATAACCATTTGGAAAATTACTCACATTAAACTCATATTTTAAAAATAGGCAATGAAATAATCAAACAATTATTTAAAGGGGAAAATCCAATCCTAAATATACATAACTATGATCGATGAATATTGCAACCTACGTTGCAAAGGTACGGGTACGTATCCAGTACCTGATACAGGTATTGGCATACAATATCTGTACAATGATCTGTACAATGCAGTTTCAAAAATTATCATGGGATAAACTATCAATATCAACATTTGCTCAGTAATAGAGTAAATAATCTGAATCCGAAGTCCCTACTTTGATATGCATTGTAGAATTATCAATAGATAAACTACTAATATCAACATTTGCTCATTAATAGAGTAAATAATCCCAAGTCCTACATCAGTT